AAATGTAGAGTCACTGACCTATTTTTCAGGTGGTTTGGTGAGAGTCACTCCAAACCCTTCTGGTCTCTCAGCACCATAAAATTGTAATGGTTTACAGAAATGTAGCCTCTTATTGAAACAGCAAGTAAGACAAAAGTGGCAAATGGAATTTGGAATCTTCACGTTGGGAAAACAGTAGTTTTCATAATGGCCACACCCAAGGAGTGAGCTGACATGGAAGGCCCCCACTAAAATGTCCTATGGGAATTTGTCTGAAAGGGCAGTTTCTACATCCCCAAAGCTGTTACAATCTTTGACGGCCTCCTTCTGCTCTTCTCCTTTTTGTAAGGAAGTTGCTTGAAGACTTGGGGGTTCTGCCCCCCCCCCCCTTTTTTTTTCTTTCTTCATGTAAAACACCAACTTTATTAAAACTAGGCTTATGTGCATGTAGAATTACACCAGGTACATTAGGCACAGCACAGTCCATCTCAGGTAAATATACTAATTATTGAGGTTAAAATAACACCAACTTTCTCCATGGCCTTTGCTCCCTGCTAAGGGAGTTTCTCGGGAAGGCAGCCTTGGAATTTTTACCAGCCCAAGAGGGAAGTGGTGAAAGCCCAGGACAGGTGCGCTCAGCACCTTCTGCCGCTGTTTTTTATAATATCAGCCTCAGTGAAAAGTGGAGCAACATTTTCTGTAGCTGCATTAGGAAATCCTGAAGTATGTGATTTTACAGCAGAAGCTCAGACAGACATTGTAACTGCTGTATCACTACCACTATAATGGTAAAACAATCCCCTTCATCACTGTAGTCCTTCTGAGGATTTGTTGAGGTTATTAGAGAGCTTGTTTCTGCTTCCCTGCACCAGCTGTACAAGGGCTGCCCCAGAAAAGAGGACATGAACGAAACACCCAGGCAGTTCAAAATCCACATTGATTTGTCTTGCCCAGTAATTAACATTAAGATCTCTATGGCATGGTTACACAGTATAGCCAGTGGGGAAGAGAAGAAAAAGGACCTGGTGAAGGAAAAAAAGGACACAAGTCAGCAATGTAGCTTGAAGGATATGTAGGGAACTGCTTATTGTTTCTTCATCAGCTCTTCAGATCTAGTCACTAGTTCAAGGAATTGAGAACAATATGTAAATTACATTTTTATCAATAATTGTGGGCGATAATTGCAAGGTCACAAAGGCAGGAGTGGGCTATGCAGCCTACAGCATGTAAGAGCTGGAAGAAAGCACTGACTGAAGGTCTGAAGATGTTAAGAAAAAGGGTTTGCACGCTAGGATTGTTTCAGCCACATGGGGCAACTTCCCTCTAGCAGGAAGTGAGCCAACCAAGTGAACCAACCAGCTTCCAACCAAGATATTAATAGTAAAGAAAGTAGCAGACATTTTTAAGAGTGAATGTTGCATAGTGATATAGGGTAGTACGTGCATAGTGATATAGGATAGTTTGAAGAAACTTCAGAAAACTGAGAATTAAATGTCTTTCCTAACATTAACACTGTACTAAATCAAAAGCTTTACTTTTCCTGAATCTGAAATAGATTTAGCTATACTACTGAGCCAATAGCCTTTGAAACAGAAAAGCCTTTTTATCAAAAAGGAAGTAGTTCCTGAGTTTGCCTGAGGCATCTTTCCTTCTCTAAGATTTGAAAAGGTGGGAAAAGAAAGTGGAGACATCCTTCATCTGACTTAGTTTAAAACACATATATTACATTTTTGCATTTCAAATTATGACTCGTTTAAATTTTATTCTGTCTGTAATTTTCCTCTATGTAATGGATTTTGTTTTCTTCTCATTTTAAATACAACCCTATCATGGTGCACCTGAATTATGCATTTAGCTCAAAATTAATTTCTGGAGTTTTAATTAATTATTATGCCTGTATTAAAAATTAACTTCAAGGTTATTTTTAAAATCCTTTTCTCTTATTTGTAAGATAGCAACAGAGAAGGGAGATATACATAGCCATTAAAATCATTCATGAGGTTCAAAACATTCATTTTTTCAGCTCCTCCAGGCTTCACTTCTGATTGCCTGACAACTCAAAGCCATCCAGAGAAGCCTGAAAGAAAAACTATTACAGAAGTAAAAGGTAAAAGACTGTATGGAAACTGGACTCCTCGATGTCACAGCTCTGCATCAGGACTGGCTCAGCTCAACTCCCTTGGGCTGCTGATTCTTTCAGAGTAGCTGATGCTCCTGTAGTCATTCCCCCTTGCCTGTAGCCTTTCTGGTGGCACTTCTTGTAAGGCTACTAGCCACAGGCCTGACACCACACATGGCATTTAGCATGCCATAGAACTCTGAATCTTTTAATTCAACCTCCAGCTTCCTGGTAAGGGAGGTGGGAAAGGTCAGCCACTTTAGCCTGTAATCCTTTCAACCTCTTCCTAAATGCAGGCAGCTGTGAAAAGAAGTCATACTTTGATGAAGCATTTGTCATTCAAATAGAGCATTCTTCTGGACTCTTCCAGCCTCAGGACCTGAACCCTCCCTCCCTGCAGCCCCTTGCCCAGACAGCAAAACAGAGAGAGAGAATCTGTACTTTCCCATATGGGGTGAGTGGGAGGGAATGGGCTGCAGTGTCTCATCCAGTAATTCCTGATCTCAGAGCAGACAATTTTCACCTTGAGAAATGTAATTCACATCCTGCACCACCACAGCTCTCACTCTGGACTGTGACTTCAGCCCTTCTCCTTCCTGCTCTCCATGTTTTTCTGGTGTCTTTGTGAGTAATAATTCATTACTTAGCCTAAAGGCAAAGATGTTTTTCAAGCCTTTGCAAGAATCAACCATTTACCTCAGAGTGTGACAGAGTGGCAGTGGTACTGATTTTCCTTTCAATAATTCATCTTTTGGCTTTTTTATTGCAAAAAACTACTTTTGAGCATTAATGGCCACAATATGTTCAGATTCGCTACAGTTGGCAGGTGGGCTATTAATTGAAGTGAGCATTAGTGAATTTGGAAAATCTTTTTTACTCAGTTCCTCAGGCAGGTTTTGATTTGCTTCCAAATACTTGCTCTGTGGTCTGGCTAGACATTCGTAATGGCTCCTCTGTAATGGCCTGGGTTTTTTGATGGGATTTTTCAGTGTGTTTTTAAGGACCACTTCAGCCTCTTTAAACACAACGCAGCAGCATCTCTGTTCATATTTAGCGGTGAGAAATTGGTCCTTTATTCTCCAAAGCTAGCAATATGCCCTGAACTTTGCAGCAGCAAACTGAAATTGTGTAGTTACCACATTTTAATATGAAGAGTGGGAGCTCAGCTAGACTAAGTAATTTGTAGATTCCAGCATGATGCTTGTGACTGTCATTAGAAGCCAGTTTGCCAGTCTAGTAATTACATTCAGACGAGTTTGGGTCAAACTCACTTACTGTATTGTTTCTCCTAGAAAATGAATACTATGGTCCTAATGTTCTTGAGTGGCAGTTTAAAGATATTGATGAGGGATTGTATCACAGCAATTTTAAAGATTTTATTTAAGGTAGTTATGCAAAAAAATAGTTTATAGCTGAATGTACATTGCCAGTATCTTTAATACTACGAACCAGTTTTCTGACTGGATCATTCATATGCAGATTTCTAATACTTGTGGGGAAAAAAAATAAACCCAACTAATTTTTATGTGATTTTCTGAACCAGAATATTTTCTCAATCAGTTACAATCATTAGTTTTAATTTATTATTTTCGTTCTCTTCTCCAGCCATCATCTACAATCAATGCTGCACATGAATCATTAGTCCCGCTTCTCCAGTTTCCCATCAGCATGCTGAAAGTGTGATGGATGAAATTCAGTTTAAGGGTGCAAGTGTTTTCCGTTGTCTCATTCAGGCCTCTCATAAAGCTATTCAGGTCATCTCATAAAGCTAAAAACAAGTTAAGCAGTAAAAATAAACACCTTTTCCAGTAACAAGTCAGGACACAACAACCAAGCGCTCCTGCATAGCAATACTGCAGCACTGTCAGCTAAAATGCTGCCATGGACACCTGCTCGCTCCGTCTAAAAATAAATTGCTGGATTGTGTCACCAGAATTGATGAGCCTAAAGAATCTAATGTCTCATGACAATAGGATTCCTGGGTGGAAAGCTGTGTATGGAAAAGTGCCAGGCAGATGTACCGCAGACCTCACTGTGCTCCCCTGTAGTTATGCTGCTGAAGAGTAATCGCAGCCAAGTCAAGGCATTCCAAGGCTGGCAAAGTCAGAAGCCACAGCCAGGATGCTGGAGCCCACCCTATGCTGGAGACTGGTTATTTACTAAGGCTGATTGTGGGTCCAGGCACTGCTCAGCAGACACAGCAGCTCCTTTGGTCTTCTCTCCTTCCTCCTTGATAGGAAGCATGGAAGTGGGCTTCCCTGATGGCAACATCACAAGAAATGATTTTGTCCATTCAATAAATTCCTGTCCTTTGGAGAAAGCCTAGGCCCAGCGCTTCTGTCAGAAGATAGCTTACTTGCACACAAGGCCTCGGCATTAGCAGTGGGGCAGAACTAACAATGACCGTCTCAGACAAACTGGCCATGCTAGGAGCCATTCCTTTGACAGCACGATGTTACATGCCTCAACCATAATGTGCTTTGTCATTGATTTCAGAGATGCAGCATGTAGCCATCCAGGCTTTCACGGGATTTTTCTGGCCTGTAATAAAGTTCTATTAGGATATTTATTCTGTCTTCTTGATGGTGGCAGCTTCTTACTGATGTGTTCCTTGAATGGAAGCAATGCTTTCCTACCAGCCCCCACGCTTCCTTTAAACTCCCTTTCCTATCCCTAATGGCTTGATTTCCAAAGGTGATGGTATCCTCAAGTCATTTTGCTCCTTAAAGAAGCAGAGCTGCTCAGACCTTTTGAAAACTAAGCCAACAATGTACTTATAGAGGTGTAATTGCTATCTTTGTAAGCAGCTCCAGGCAATTGTCATAATACACTCTGTTAAGTGAGGACAAAGTCCACAGTAGATGGAAGAGAGGCTAGGAGGGATGCAGGGCTGGCACATAGGAAGGAACACACATCAGTTTATTCCAAGTTTTTTCCAGTGTGCAGGGAGAGGGAGCTGAGCAAGGATGAGCTTCTCCCCTGTCTTAACGCAGATAGAGCACATTAAACCACACAAACTGGCATGGGTGAGGGACACTGGAAGGGCTTGTTTAAATCCACGGTACTTACTGCATTAGTTACCCATGGGAACTTTACACTTGTGTACTTTAAAGTTGCATTCTCTTTTATAATGGGTTTGCTTATACTATACACAAATGAGAATTAGGAGATATACCTCAACATATCTTCAAAAGATACATCAGTTTCCCCAAACCACAGAAACCTGCAGGCTGAGAAGATAGATTTTCCTCCAGTTACTTAATAAAACTTCTTTAATGAGTATTTCTGCATGAATAAGATATGTGGAACTAGGACCACACTAGTATTATATAAAATGGGAATGGGAATGAATTTAGGGATTGCAGCAAACTGCAGAGCTGCCTGTTCCTATGCAGTTTGTGTATCCTGGGGTAACACAGGTAAATTGACCTCTAAAGTTGCAGTTGTAAGTACCTAAGCATATCTGATGGCTTCCTCTTGCCATAAGGGGGAAGTCTTGTTCCTTTTCCTCCTTTTCCTTCTCTAACCCAGACCTCTTCCTAGCCAAAGACCCTGCTGTCTCACTTAGGGTAGCTCTGGAGCTTTGTGAACTTGCCTGTAAGCTGATTCAACTCACTAACCCAGCAGAGAAAATATCAGGCAGCTGTTTCCTTCTCGGTCATGTTTCTGCTTGGTCAGTGAATAGCAGTGGTGAGCGAAGGGCTTCATTTATTCACAAGTAGCAGAGCTGATAAAAAAGATGATGGGATTGCATGGCTGGGAACAGGGCCTCCTCATTTTGGTGGAGGTGAGCTGCTGGCTTAGGGCATGCCATCCTAGGAAACTGAAACTGTGTCTAAATTTGAGCACCTAATAGTAAAACCACCTGCTTTGCAGAAGCGCAGCTGAGGCCAATACTTCCCTTTTGAAACCTAAGGCCTCCAGCAGCTTGTGTAAGTCCCACTGTCTCTCTGCCTGGCCTTGGTGCTCCTTCCCACACTGGCTGGCCAGGGTATTTCTGTGCCTTCACTGGGAGCTGGGAGAACTGATCCAACTGAAAAAGAACTTCTGTACCCAGCTCACTTACAAAGAGTCGCCCTGGAACCATGCAGGGCAGTGCAGGGGCTGCGCAGGGACAGACATAGGCAATTCCACTTCGGGTCAGAGGGAAGCTTGTACATGTCCAGGTCTCACAAGATGTTACAAGTCAAAGGGCTATGACCTCCAGCAGCTCATATGCCTTTTGCTCCAGCTATTACTGTGTTAGCCTGCTGCCCTAACTACTACCACCAACAGCTGTTCGGGCAAAAGGTTAAAAGTGTGTGTGATTTTTCTTGGTTCTTCAATGGGAAAAAAAAAAAAGAAATGGAAGTGCCTGAGATGGAGAGTGGGTCACTACTGTGTATGAACATTATTCTTGTATTAGCTACATGATTATACCTGTGAAGTTGCATAACACACACAGGCTGCAATGCAGGCTTGCAACGTTTTGGCTGTCCTTCCTCCCCTGGTCCTTTATTCTGTATATTACATTCCTTTATTGCATTTCGGCTCATGTTAAACTGCAAGGCCCTTGTGGCAGGAACCATGTCATTTATGTATCAGTGCAGTGCCTCAGATAATGGAGCTTTAGCAGTGATGGGGGCCTCTGGGAGCGCCTGTCACAGAAATGGCAGGGGGGAATAGTTTCACTCTTGTGGAGTGCAGAATTAATCATACCTAGGAGTGCTTGATTTTCACTAGCCTTTTTGAAGGACTTCATCTTTGCCTCTTGCATGCCCAGTTCCTTTCCCTCCATCTCTCCCATCTCTCTGCCTTTACAGATACACTCCCACTCCATTTTGACTCCATGAATGATTGTTCCCCTTTTGTCAAGAGATCACACGCTACCTCCTTTCCTTCATTCTGTGCATCTCCCCTTTCCTTCCTGATCTTTGGCTGCATGCTAAATAGGGCTGCAAAAATTAAAAAAGACAAGGAAAAAAAAAAGGTTAATGAGCAAACCCCACTGCTCTAGATTTAAAAGAGAAATGTATAATAACTGTTTTCTTCCTGAACACAGAGGAAGACAAATTAAACCAAATGGTATTTGGAGCTGGAGGGCAAAGGGGAGAGAGGAGGTGGGAGAGAAGAAAGGAAGAGGCAAAGGAGAGCCGCCCCTCTCTTTTGGAGCTGTCTTTGGCTTTGTTTACATTTCAACAGGAGTGTAAGTTATGATGAGAATATAGATTGTTATGGTAATACCCTTTTTATTCCATATGTAGAGACCCTTGTAGATGGCTTTGATCTAGCTTACACTTTTGGGGAGTTTTTTTAGCTGATAAAATCCAAATAAACTAAGTATCCAGAGGACTGGGAATATCTACAGCAGGTTTAAATGAAGTTCCTCTGGGTTTCAGTGTACTGGCATGCTTTGTGCATCCCACTTCTCCTGGCAGCTCCTGCCAGCAAACCTGTTCCAGTGTGGGTCTCCAAAGAGCCACAGGTCCTGCCCTGGGCCTGCTCCAGTACACTCTTCCCACAGAGTCAGAGCCTCCTTTGGAAATCCCCTTGCTCCAGGGTGGGATCCTCCATGGGCTGCAGGTGGATCTGCTCCACCATGAGCCTCCATGGGCAGCAGGGGCACAGCCTGCCTCACCATGGGCTGCACCATTGGCTGGAGGGGAATCTCTGCTCTGGAGCGTGGAGCACCTCCTGCCCTCCTTCTGCACTGACCTTGGGAACTACAGAGCTGTATCTGTCACTTATTCTCACTCCTTTCTTCAGCTCCAATTGCTATTGCAGTTTTTTCCCTTTCTTTAAAAAGTCTGGGAAAAACATCATTAGGTTGGCTACAGTGTGCCAGTACAGTGGCTTGTTAGGAATCAAGAAGAAAAGCAACACCAGCTTGGTAAAATGACAACCATCAGCTGGGTATCAGAAAAGCTGGCAGCTACATAGTAGAATAATATGCACTTTGTTGCAAGGAGCCATGTGGACAAACTGAGATGGGCTGGAGTCTGCTAGACTTGGACTGTGTTGCCCCATGAGGACAGAAGTTGTTGGACAGAGTTTAAAGAAGGCTTAGAACGAAAAATAAAAAAGCAGAAAAAAAGAAAAAATCAACAGAGGAACCCAACAGCTGGTGATGCTGAAAGACATGAAGAAAGGATCGGCTCTGAGGATTCATTGGATGGATGTGTGTGGAGCCAATAAACGGAGCCAAAGATTAGGTGAAGATGAAAATGCTGATGACACTGCTGTATTTGGTTTATTAAAAACTCCAAACAAAGAAACCTATGGCACTTCCCTGCATAGGTAAACCCTTGCTTGGTAAACATCAAATGCAGATTCAGCCTCAAATCTTGAGCCAGCCACCCGTGTGACACCAGTGCTACTGCAGAATGGAATATGGGGTTTGAACTTGTTCTCAGGAAGTAAGAAACTTACTGGGTGTTAGGTCAATCCTTACATCTGGGTGGAAACTTACAGTAACTGTGCAATTTCCCTAAATAATCCTCAGAGATCTAAGTTAGGCATTTTACCTTTGCAGCCTTTCCTGCCTTTGCTCCTACAGTGCTTTTCACACGAAGCCTTTGCACTTCCCTACACCGTGTAAAATATGACTACTTCTTTCACTTAAAGACCTCGGTACAACATTAAAATCCCACCAGTAACTATGCGGAGGTCCCTTTTGTCGTAATACCTGTCTTCATTAGTCACGGTCGCTTGAAGGGGGGACATAAAACAGGACGCTTGGATCCATGCCTTTTTTCCTTCTTCCCCACGCTGCCCACCGGAGCACCCTCAGCCGAGCAGCGGGGCCGCCCGTGTGCAACGCCGGAGGGCGGTGGCCTCCCCGAGCCGCTGCAGCCGCGCAGCGAGGAGATGCGGTGCCAGCGCTGCCCGCGCAGCCTCCGCAGGGGCGCGCTGCGGTGCGCAGGGGCTTGCGGGCCCGCGCTGCCGCAGCATTCACCTCTCGGCGCCGCGCGCGGGGACATGCGCACTGCAGCGCGCCTGTCCGCGCAGCGCTCCGCAGCCGCGCGCCGCCCAGCTCCGCCGCTTCCCTCCGACCCTCCTGCCGGGCGGAGGAGGGGAGGGATCGCGGTGGGGAGGAGGAGGAGGAAGGAGGGAAGGGAGAGCAGGATTGAGCAGAGCAGAGAACAGAACAGAACAGAGAAGAGCAGAACAGAACAGAGGAGGAGGGAAGAAGCGACGCGCCGCAACTTGCTGCTGCTCCTCCCTCCCTCCGTCCCCTCCTTCCCTCCCCGCGCCGGTGCCCGGCCCCTGCGGGCTGCACTCCTCGGGCCGCGCTCCGCGGGAGGCGGCATCCTCGGGCGCGCCCCTCCGCGGGGCTGGCGCCTCTCGGTGAGTTGGGGGCGGTGCGAGAAGTTGCTGTGCCTGTGTTTTGGGGGGTGGAAGGGGAAATGTGTGTGTATTGCGGGGTGCTGTCGCTGCGGGCGCGGGTCGCTGCGCGGCTGCGGGAGGGCGGTGGAGGAGCCGCCGCAGAGCTGCGAGGCTGTTCTGTCTGGCCGCGTTCCGTGCTGCGGGTTACGTGGTGACTGGGAGAGTAATACAGCACGGTCACAGGTGCGGGGCAGGGTCGTGTGAGGCATCCCCCGGCGGTGGGATCTCCCGCGGGCGAGCCCCGCGTTTTCATTCACACGCTATTGCATGGTGACAGACTCCAGTTTGTTTGTCAGTGGCATCTGCTCTTGGTCTTGGAAACTCTTCTAAGAGGAAGGGATCACCAGAAGAGAGCAGAGGCTGCTTTTCAAAGCGAAGGGAGCTGAGCGCACAAATGAGTCCGGGCACCCCGTTTGCCGTGTGTGCTGCTCGGTTTGGAGCATTCGTTTCCCTTAGTTCTTCTAGGATGGGAAAGAAAGAAAGCTGGCAAACGGTCATACCAAGAAAGTTGTGTAGCTTGAGATGTTACGTACGCTAATGGAGCCTATTACCTACATAAACAAACATAGTGATTTATAGGTGTCTGAACTATAATGCTTTGAACGGTAGAGCTCTTCAGCCTTTCTTTCTAATCTGTCTCTCAGAGATTTGGGTTTAAGGAGAGTAATACATCATCTGTGGTGCTGAATACTTGAGTTGATTACATTTGTAAAAGGAAATAATGCCTTTGAAATAATACTGATCCATTAAGTAATAAATGCAGAAAAAGAGTGAGAAAGAGCAAAGCTAAGATTTTGGCAGAAAGTATTCCCTGACCTTCCTATCAGCCAAGCTCGACTGACTTTTATCCAGTGTTCTTATTTTATTAAATTGTGTGTCAAAAATGTGAGTGTGCCTTGTGAAACCAGAAGCAAATCCTCCTTAGTCCTCTCAAAGTCTGTCTGTGTTGCAGTTAAATGATTGGAGCAGTGTCTCTTAAGAGCATGTGCAGAAGTGAGCTCTGCTAAAGATACCCAGTAGGTAAATGGAAGTACATTTTCATTGTATTTGCTTCTCTTAGACAATACAGTAGCAGAAACTTCCAATTTCAGGGTTTCTTATTTTACATCTTTAACAATTTTGCCCTGATAAATATACCTATATGTGAGGTGTGCAGCTTCATCATAGCAAAAGTGCCTCCCCTTACTGGATAAATGATTAATTCAGGTGTTAACTTACTCAACAAGGGCCAAATTCTGCAGCCTGTGAAGCATCTCCTGTAAGGGGTGTCTCCTGCCCTCAGGGGAAGAGGAAACAGTGAGTACGGTATGGACAATATCTTGCAGGCCTGAAGTACAGGAGCAATTTTACCTTTAACCAGCGTCTCAGTACAGGATTTTATTAACATAAAATCAGTATTCAGGTCAGCAATGGGGATCTGCAACTTTCGAATGAGAAGCTGATCTGAAGGAAACACATTGCTCATATGAGTAAAGGTTGTGGGATATGGCACTGAGCAAGCTCACCTATCTTCTGTTCCTTTTATGAAATGTCGTTTAATGAGGAGAAGAAACAGGTAATCCATTGCATTTTAAGGCGTAGTGCTCCTGGTAAGCTTTACTGCCAGGCATTTGAACGTGAATGTGGCTTTAGATCATGTATTGTATACAGATGACTGCTACTAGATAACAAGCTTTAAATTTATTCTACTGTTAAAGTTATATTGATCAGAAAGTGGCAACTGGATTTCAAGTCTTAATAAGAAAATCTAGAGCTAATTTATATTTTAAGAAGCACTGTTCTGAGCAATCCACAAGAAATGCAGCTGAGTTCTTCTTACTGGGTATGCTGTGGCATTTAGTTAAGGAGCACTCTTTCCTGGGGCTTTGTGGACTTCATGTCACACAAAGGAGTTAAATTTGTTTATCAGCTCATTGATGCCCCTGGTAAAGTGCTTTAGAGTTCAGTAGCTGGAGCAGAGGATGGTCTTTTTCTGTCCAATAAGGACAGGGATGGAGAATGGAAGGGCTTTTTCAAAGTGGTTCCAACACTATTTCATTTGTAACTGCAAAACATAAGAATAAGATTAATAGACCAGAAAGGCTTGAAAAGATTATTTAACACTTGATTGAGACAATGAACCCTTCAAATACAGTTACCTAGGCTGCTGTAGTGATGCCTCTGCTTCTAGGTGTTGAGAAAGGACCAGATTTTGAGTGTGGGGTACTAGGTAGCTCAGCCTAGGATGGTGGTGGGAGGGCAGGCTCAGAGCCCCTTCGCAAGTTTGAGTGTATGCTGAATGAATGGCAGCTGCCTGCCCAAGCCCTCCCTGTCTGGAGCTAACAGGGAAGGTGTGTTGGATGGGGTCCTGGTTGTACAGCCTGTAGCTTGCAGACAGGCTGCGTGGCTGCTTGCAGCCCATCTCTGTATCCCAAGGTTGCAGGTCTTACACTGTGTGTAACAATGCCAAAAAGCTTTTGTTCTGGTGGGGAAAGAAATTCAGGATGGCTTCTTCTGTAGGAAAATGGTGCATTTATAAATGTCTGTATGATCAGATACTGCTTACATTGATTAAAACATGGAAAGGGTGAGCAGCCACACTCTTGCGTATACTATTGCTAGTAAAAAACTCTAGACTGGAAACTACTGTGCACTCATGTAGGCTCTTGGAGGCCCTGTAAAATCCAGATGAGGAAGTTGAAGCCTGCTGGTCTGCTGCGAACTTAACTGAAACGAATACAAGCTGGGCAGAGAAGAGATTCAGAGATTGTGCGACTTCACCCGGAGTATTGTGTGCAGTTCTGGTGTCCTCAACATAAAAAAGACATGGAACTGCTGGAACAAGTCCAGAGGAGGGCCGCGAGGATGATCAGGGGACTGGAGCACCTCCCATATGAAGATCGGCTGAGAAAGTTGGGGCTGTTCAGCCTGGAGAAGAGAAGGCTACATGGAGGCCTAATAGCAGCCTTCCAGTTTCTGAAGGGGGCCTATAGGGATGCTGGGGAGGGACGCTTCATTAGGGACTGTAGTGATAGGACAAGGGGTAATGGGTTCCAACTTAAACAGGGGAAGTTTAGATTGGATATAAGGAGGAAATTCTTTCCTGTTAGGGTGGTGAGGCACTGGAATGGGTTGTCCAGGGAGGTTGTGAATGCTCCATCCCTGGCAGTGTTAAAGGCCAGGCTGGATGAGGCCTTGGGTGACATGGTTTAATGTGAGGTGTCCCTGCCCATGGCAGGGGGGTTGGAACTTGATGATCTTAAGGTCCTTTCCAACCCTAACTATTCTATGATTCTATGAAATATCTTAAAATATGTCCTTCATCTGTCTAAGACATTAAGAATAGCTACACTACAAAATACTGTGTGTGTGGGGGGGTGTTATGGCATTCTTAGTAACTATTAAATAGGCTATTTTAAAGGAAAATACTCTCTGCCACAGAATTGAAAAGTGAAAGCAATCCTTCTCTGCCACATACCATGTGATTTTTCCTGTGCAACAACCAACCAGTTTATATGTTTGCTAGAGGGAAGTGCCAGTGTATAGCCAGGGCATGTGATATTCCAGCTCTTTCGCTTGGTGGTACGGGAACGGCAGAAGACACCTATGTGAAGGCAGGGGGTTGGAACTACATGATCTTAAGGTCCTTCCCAACCCTAATCATTCTATGATTCTATGAATATGTCCTTAGTTGCCGTTCCCTCATCTCCATTCTGGTATCACTCATGCTCTGAATTGCTGTGCCATTCCATGACTTCTCTTGTAGGTGTCTTATGGGTATGTGTGCTGCATCCAGTTCATCTTACCTCTGGCCCCTCACCTCCCAGAAAGCAGTTACCTGGGCGGGGGGGGAACAGCTGCAGATGGTGGGACCTCCAAAGGTTGCTTCTGCAAAGGTGCACCAAGCACAGCTGTCAGGTGAAGATGATGAGTGATGAGAGGCATTCCCTCGCTTCCTGGGTGTGATATAACCAAGTTGTAATTAAAGTGGTGGCAGTAGATTATTAGGGCAGATAAGCACTGCCTTGTTGCAGCCCTCTTGGGTCATATGTAAGCAGTATTCATTTAGAAAAGATGAATGGTCAGTGTGAAGGATAAAGATCAGGATTGTTAATCGCTCTGGAAGTCTTCTGTGGGAAAGTGTAAACTCACGAGGAAAGATAGTGTCCATAAACGTAATTTAAGTATTTACATAACTCGAGGATAAAAATTTGATATTAAAAGCATGCAATTACCAAGTCATGTTTGGGTTCCTGTCAGAGATCACTAGCACTTGTACTGTTGGGGTTGGTTGGTGGTGGGCTATATTTTTACGTAATGCTTCGCTACCAGCAGCAAAGAGCTCTTCTGTATCACCACCTATGAAAAAAATCTGACTGTTCGTGTTT